TAAACAAGATATAAAAAATATCCAGAATCTGGTCCTGATTTTAGTTTATTAGATATTAAATAAAAGCAGTGGGGCTGACAGACTCGCTAGGCCACTGGGCAAGGCAGAGGGGGCAATTCTGCATTCCAGAAGGGGCAGAGACTCATGCGGAAGGGTGAGAATGAGGATTGCCTCACCCAAGGCAGCGCTCAGCACTGACCGAAGTGCACTGTGCAGAGATTTAAAGGACCTGGGGCCCTAGCCACCATCACTGCTGCAGTAGCAGCAGGGGCAGCGGGGAGCCCTGGGCTTTTTGAATGACCAGGCCCCAGGGCAGTTGTTCCTTTTGCCCCCGTCGGTGGCCTGAGTAGGAGTTACTGAAACAAAAGGCAGAACATTCAAGGATTATAAGAATGAGATCACTTTTTTCCTCAGGATAAATGTATGTATGTCTTGGGGCAACCTTTTATTACAGTGTGGCATCATACAAATCACAATATAGACTGGAGTATGCTGTCCATAGAAATCATTGCACACTTATTTTGTAGGACTTTGTAAACACTGAAAATGTGGCTCTAAATCAATGGGTGAAGCAGCTTTGTTTGGATTAGGTGAATGAGAAAATAGGGAGTATGGCTCCTATTTTAAATACATTTCCTTTTTATCTTGCAGTTCAGCATAGCTACTGTGCTGGAGATGCAATGAAAATGAAACTAATCACACTCAGGTGAGCCACAGCTGAATGGGTTGCACAGGCTTTTGTTCAGATGTTTGTATTTATTCAGGCAACAACAAACATACAACACATTACTGCTGGATGGTATCTCTTTGGAAAAGGAACTAGCACTAGAATAATCAATAATGATAAATATAATGACAAAAGCACAAAGCCTCAGTAGAAATTATACGTGTCTTTAGCTCTGTTATATATATTCCAGTGCGGAATATTCAGCCTGGTGGATAATTGTCAGTTGGTGGTGGTGAATTGTGAGATAGTCGAAGCATAGGTTAAATGAGTGACACAAGTAAACAGCAGCAACTGCAAAAATCATTTTACTTTCATGATAAGAGCCATGATCTTCAAACTCTGTTTCTACAGCAGAAGTGACTTAATGTTCAGAAGCAGCCACCAATTTTGCACCTGCATATAATAATGCCTATAATTTTCTACCTCTACACAATCACATAGCCAACTGGAAACATTTAGACATCTAACCACCTGACTGAGCATGCAAATCAGTTGCTTAGATATCTCTTTCTCTTTTTATGTGTGGCTGTAACTAATTAGGGGGTGCAAAATGCTGCCCACAACTGGAGGTATTTTTTAAAACAATCAGGTAGCTGATACCAGAAATGTACTGTAGGGATCAGTCCAGAATGTGCACAAAGAGACCATATGATGACATAAGTTTCCATCCCTAATTTCTGTGATAGGAAGTTATTGCACAAAAGTCTAGGTATTTTTAGAACTCCTAGTGCAGGAAAGTGATATAAAACATTTTGTAAGTAACGAAAGCTCAAGTGTATTGTATTTGCAATTCTTACTGCTGCAGTGAGTCAGCATTCTGATGCGCTAGCTGTGATTAAGTTGGCATAATATCCGTACTAGAATGCATTCGGTGAGCAGCAGGCAGAGCTCACCCACCTTGCATTTAAACATTCGCTCTGCTTTTCAGGGCAACAAGGAAACTTGGATAGCAAATTTTAAAACTTGCCATTTGCCAAGAATCCGAAGTCATGCAGTAGACTGGAAAGCGACCATCAGTGGAATTATACATGCTATGCTGCTTTCTGAGTTCCCCAAAGCAGTTAAAGAACCAGGAGACTGTCATTCCACGGTCTCCCTCCCCCTGGTTAGGAGAATAAACCTCTGCCAGACACTCAGGCAGAACAAAACACTTAATCAGTATTAAGGATGCATCTGTTCTCCCAAGAGAGATGAGCTGTTCATTTATGCTTGTTTACAATATGTTTATAAACATTAGTGGACAGGGATAGATTACCTCAGTTTACTGCCACATAAAGGAGTCAGCTGCTTTATATTTCCTGTCATAGCAGTGTGCTTTTCTTTTACATTACTCAAGTGGTACCTTATGGCAAGTGAATTAGATCAGAAGTGAGGAGCAACCTGGTAGGTTTTCTACTATTTTCTCCTGCAACTGGCTCAAAAAAATCTGAATTTCTGATCAAATCCCCGTTCCTGCATGTGCCAACCCTTTCTGAACAGCTCAGTTCCCACAATTTATTCAGTCGGTGATGGAGGGACATTGACTAAGTGCCCCAGATTAAAAAGCATGTTGTTTATTTAAGCAGGAGCGGGAAAGCTGTTGTTATAACTACAACAATCCTAAGTACACCAGATGTTCATAATGTTCCAAAGAAAGGAGTGTTTGTATGAAAACTATTATTTTTGTTATTGGTGGTGGCAAACAACTGACCCAGAAAATACAGTCTCAGAGGAGTAACCATGTTAGTCTGTAACTTTAAAGATGAGTAGTCCTATGGCACCTTAAAGACTAACAAAAATATATATAGTATCACAAGCTTTCGTGGGCAAAACCCACTTCATAAGATGAGCTGGAGTGGAAATAACAGAAACCTAGAATTTATAACAGAAAAAGAAGGGGGTGGGAGGAAGGTACCTGTCAGTTGTAGGACTAGTGCTAATGAGGCTAATTGAATGGTCTGGAAGTGTGCCATACTTAGCTTTTGATGTAAATCAGGTGTTAAATGCAGGGAAGGCTGGCTTTATAATGTGACATCTAATTAATAGATCCGCTGTACTAAATATGCAATAAATGGAAGGAAAATATATGGTGTTGATCATGTGATAGTCATATGATGAATTTCCGTTTTGTTGTGTGTGCATGAGAGTGAGTGTCAGGAGTTCTTGGTTCAATTCCTTGCTCTGCCAAAGACCTGTGGCAAGTCACCACTTTTATGTCTCTCTCTCTCTTGCATCTCCTATCCTTTCTCTGTCTTGTCTATTCAGACCACATCTACCTAAACACTTTACTGGTATAGGAATATCAGTAGCTTATCACAGCACAGTTTTCCTAGTGTACACACAACTATATTGGCAAAACTGTGCTTTGTGCTGGTAGTAAAACCACTCACTGGGCGTGAAACAAGTTGGCCAAATACAAATCCAGTTTTACTGATAGAACTGCGTCTACACTAAGGATTTGTGCTGATATGTTGCTCATGCCAATGACCAATGTAGCTGAGCGTGTAGAAGTGTGTAGTCCTGGTCTTAGATTGCAAACCTTCTAGGGCAGGAATTGTCTCTCACATTGCATTTGTACAGTGTTTTACACAATGGGGCCCTCAGCTCAGTAAAGACCAAAAGGCATTAATATAGTAATAATAATAAGTGAAGAAACAAGAGAGGCAATATCATAATACAGAACTGTATTGCTGGAGATATGGCTAATTGGAAGCAGGCTGTTGTGATGAATGTTTAAGTGATGATGTCTAGAGCATCTGCAAATCCACCTACTCCACAAATTGCAAAGATGGAGTTGGTAGCAGGTCCTTCTGCTTAATTTGATATTTAGCCTAGGCTGTGTCCAGACTCAAGGGTTCTTTTGAAATTAAATCGAAAGAACGCAGCTTTTCTTTCGAAATTAAATCGAAAGAACGCGGCTTTTCTTTCGACGGCGGAAAACCTCATTTCACGAGGAAGAACGCCTTTTTTCGAAAGTGCTCTTTCGAAAAAAGGCGTTCTTGAATGCAAACAGGGCTTTTTCGAAAGAGAGCATCCAGACTGCCTGGGTGCTTTCTTTCGAAAAAGCGGCTTACTTTTTCGAAAGTACTGCTTGCAGTCTAGACGCTCTTTTTTGAAAGAGCCTCTTTCGAAAGAGGGTTGCAGTCTAGATGTAGCCCTAGATCTTAAATTTTTCATTAAAAGGAAGAAATGCCGATATTATTGTGATACGTTCCCCCAAGGATGCCACCAGGAACTGGGTACCATGGAGCACTCTGACCCACCAGCCTTGTGGTAACCAGAGATTCCTCTCATGTACTCCAGCAGGGCTCTCACAGTGATTCAAAGGGCCCAAGCCTCCAGCCACCATCCCTGCCACAGTGGTTTAGATTAAACAAAACCAAGTTTATTAAGTGATTACGTTTAGCAAACACATCAACACAGATTATCTAGCAAATAAACCAAACTGCAAACTGAACATAATATAGTAAATGCATTGGCTCTGAATTAGCAGATTCTCACTTAAAAAACAACAAATGGTCTGGTAGCACTTTATAGACTGGTACAGGCAGACTTAAGGCACAAACTGCATTAGCTTTACAGCTTGGGTTTCTCAGGTTAGAAATCTCTCTAGCCTATGTCCAGCATTTGCCCTAGTTCAGTCTCTGTTCTCAGGGGTTTCCAGGAGTCCTCTTATGTGGCCAGATGATGTCACTCTCTGCCTTATATAGCTTTAGCATCTGGAGGTATCTTTTGTTCCAAAGCTTCGTTGCCAGACCAGTTTATGGAAAAATACTGACATCCCAAGATGGAGTCCAGAATCCTGCTGTTTGGTCACATGTCCTTGCAAAGTCATAGCAGCCATTACTTATAGGCTGTCCGTAGAGTTCTCAGGAAGGCTCCCCAGATGGGAGATAAGCTTCTCCCAAGGCCTGTTGTTTTCCCTAATGCCCTGAATAGGCTCTGCTCAACCAGCTATGTAGACTGAAAGCATCTTGTCTAGTGAGTGTGACTCAGGTGTAACTACGTTTGAAGTACAGATCCAAAGCCAGTATTTATAGCTTCAGATCCATAAATGATACATGCATATGTAGTCCCCTTACTAAAGGGGCCTCTGTTTTATTCTGAAAAGACCCTGTGTGCTACAATCCAGACTACAATTCCCATGAGCCCTTGGGAAAAACAGGAAGGACAGACTCTTGTGTGGGAGAGGTCTGCCTCTCTCCATGTGCTTGAAGAAAGGAGGCCTAGCAGTCTGGGACTCTGCCTTGGAGTTTGGAACCGAAGGGGAGCCAGGCTGGTGCCAAGAACTTTGATCCAGTCCAGGGGCTGTTGGATGCAGCTACAGACTGGGACTAGATGCCTGTTGGAACTGAGATTTAGCAGGCTGCTTCCAATAGGCACAACATGAGGCAGTAAGTTTCTGGACCTTGTTGAAAAAGTTCTATCTGGGTCAGAGCTGCTGTCTAGCCTGGACCGAATCTCCGCTACTGCTGCAACATCAGCGCACGCCAATGCAAGCAAGAGTCTGGGACTGTGAGTCCAGGGGTGTGCATACTCCGGGGTGGGGTCACTGTTTTACAAATGTTAGCTATATAAGCTTCAATTATTGTTATGTTTTGTTAATGCTATTCATTGTTAAATCTGTTAATCCCTGTTTATTTAAGTAAAGATTGTTTATTTTAAAGTATTCTATTAGATGTATATGATTTGTAGTTGTTCTGGAATTAGATCCAGATTTATGTTGGAATGAGTATGTTCCTGGAGGCTCTCAAGGCACACCAGTGAGTGTGTACAAGGCCAGCCAGGTGGAGGCACCACCATTTTACATTCATTGCCAGCAAGGGACTGCAGCAAGGGCGTGGATAGGGCTTTCCCCAACTAAACACCAGCACCACTGGGGTGCTCAGGATCTCTTTTGGTTTAAAACATCAGGCGCCCAGGCACAGCTGTGAGTGTGACCTGCTCCCCAGTAACCTGGGGGGGGGGGGGGGGGGAAAAT